TTTCTGGACTCCCTACAGTTTTTATTTCTGCAGTCCAGGAATTGAGACAGTGGAGCTCAGTAGGGAAGTTGAGCTGGTGGAGCCTTTGTGTTACCGGGTGGGTTTTGTTCAGAAGATCTACGCCTTGGTTTTCTCCCGTTAAAGTACCGACATGATGATTCTGCTTTGAAGCTGCACAAGTTTCCAAGAAATAGCAAAACCAAAGTGGAAAGAGCAGGGGTGGTTTTTAACTTGGACAGATACTGAAATGCTGTAAGGCTGACTGCTACCCTTGCCTTGCTGTTATCCTCTGTTAACACATCCTAAGCCCTGAAACTTGGCTGAACCATATATCTGTGTGTGGGCAAATCCAAGCTTCATAGCTCTTCTTGGAACATCCATTTAGTATCAGGCTCCTTGTTCACTGCTGGATATTGCAAGTATGATCCTGATGAAGTATAACCCCCCAACAGCCATCTTTATTCTTATGGGGATGACTCCTTCCCTGGCCTAGCCTGGAACTGCTCAACCAGTCCCTGGTCTTTACTGGTCATATCTCATTCATTCAACAGTTATTTTTGGAACATCTGTTAATTTTCCAGGTGTTTTGATTGGTTGATGCTCAGCTAGCCTGGCGAGGAAAAGAGACAGGCTCTGTCCTCAGGTAACTCCCAGGCCCCAACTTGATTTAATTCTCCTGACAATCACTAGATAGAGGGCACCATTCCTCTCTCTCTCTTTCTCTCTCTGTCTCTCTCTCTCTCAACACATAGTCCATGCCTCTTTATAGCTTTTCTATTGCTGTATGTACACTACACTGTCCATCTCCTTTTAAACCATGGCATCCTGAAGACAAGAATTACAATTTTATTTCCCTCGTGTCCCACTCTATCTAATGTCTTGAACATAAAAGAACTCAATGAATGTTTTAAAACTACTAAATAATAACCCATATTTATAAATTCATGAACTATGGGATGCCCTCACCCCCCATCCTGCATCTCCTGGATAAAGAACTCAATGAGCAGGCATCTGTCCATACGGATCCTGCCTACTGATGTCAAGGACCTTCAAAACACAAATCCAGCTGGTCCACGGCTCATTTCTTCTCCCAAGATGCATCTGCCATCGACATTGAAAGAAAGAGCAAATATTAGCTTCAGATTTGTGTGTGATACATTCTGGCAGGAAAGCAAACATGATTACGTATGATTTAAGTGAAATAAATCTGTAGTAAGGAGAACAAATGAGTTAGTGACTGTTAGATACGGTTAGAAAGAGCTGTGGTTGAAAATTATCATAATGGCAGTGGCTTCAATAAGCAAACCCTTCTCTCTTTCATATCCAAGTTCAGGAGCAGCCCACTACTTGAGGTTTTGCTCTTAAGATCCTTAGTTTTGGGCACCATCATTCCCAAGGGTGTGACTGCTGCCGCACCTCCACACATAGAATGGAAGAAGGAGGAAGGAGGCTGAAGGGCCAGAGGGCAAACACCAACTCTGTCTTAAGCTTAAGGCTTCTAGAAGCTGATCTAGGACGCTGCCACTTACACCTCATTGTCCAGAACCCAGTCATATGACTATACAAAGAAGAAGCAGGCAAGACTAATCTATTTTGGACAACTGCTTGTCCAGCTAACAATTGTCATAACAAGGCATAGGAAGAGTTGTAGGTACACGGGGTGCAATTAGAAATCTCTACTACAGGCTCCCACACTGAAGTGTTGATACTGAGTATACAAGGTCTTCTGTATTTTAATTATTGTAAAAATCATGACAATGAACTTCAGCTGTTAAGCCACTGTAGTGGTACTGCACTTGGCAATGCCCTGGGTTTTGGTATCTAAGGAGCAGGAGGAGTGAGGTAGGTAGGAAAGAAAGCTGTAGTAACAAAGATAGCAGGAATCAAGAAGAACATCGGCAATGGTGACAGGAACAGAATGGGGCTGAGAGGACAGAGTACAGAGTGATGAGTGAATCAGGAAGATAGGACGGCAAAGAAGAGAGACTGGATATCTAGCAGACTCTCAACATTGAAAGCAAATTAGACCCTGGTAACTGAGCTAAAAAGGGTGGTTTGGAGATGACCTTAGACTGTTGGAGTTAATTCTTGTAAAATGATCTCTTCCTTCATCTATTACTTCTTACCATGAATTTTCTGTTGAACAGAGTAATGAAGTTAATAAACTTTCCCCATGTAGTTAATCTTTCACTAGAAAAATTTAACAGGTCCCACTGACTTAGCCTCATTAGTTATAATGTCCTTTCTTCTGCCTGATTTAGTGGGCTCCTTAAAATGCTGAGGTCTTGAAGCATTCTTAATTTAAGTGCCAGAATTTCTTATTTGAGTAAGCTGACAATATGGAGACTATTCACCATCTAGAATGTTGAGTTGGTCTTTTCCTCTTTACAAAACAGTTGAGAGGATTAAAATATAGAACACATAACAAAATACCCAGATGGATACATGCTAATTTTGGTTTCTTTCCGCATCCATTCAACAAACATTTACTCAAGATTTACTTTCTCAACATTGTACTAAGTGTTGGGGGCCAAAACTGAAAGTAGAGAAAGTAACAGTTGTTTTCATTTACTTCTTCTTCTCTTTTTTATTTATTTATTTCGTTTGATGACACAGTTTCATAGGCTCTGGGATTCCCCTAACCCCTCCCCCCATTTCATTCACTTCTGAATGTGGAGATACATCCATTATCTCTATGCCAGTGTACTTGTCCACTGGACTGGGAGCCCCTGAGGATGGGAACATGCATTTGTCCCTTGTATAGTTCCACGTCTCAGCACAGGAACTCATCAAGGGCAGAAACAAACATATGACCAAGATCCAAAGAAGGACTCCCAAATCTAAAAGCAGAACTGGAGTCAGAAAATTACATAGGTTATAGATATCCAGACATTGCTAAAGGCAGTTTCAGAAAAGGCAGGTGCCTTCTGGGGTGCTGTTTCCCTGGGGACCCAAAACCCTTAGCTGGAATGGTTATTGGAGGGAGAAGTGGGACTTTAAGAGACAAGAGGAAATATACAACAGTGATTAAAAGCTCGGACTCTGGAATCAAACACACGCATAACTAAGAAAAGGTCATGAGTCTTGTAAGAAGGACTCTCCCACATTCGAGATGTAAAATGCTGTGTTCTTCCAACTGGACCCTTTGGGTCTGAGAGCGTTCAGGGACAGTTCCTGGGAGAGTCCTGTAAGTTGCTTACTGCACAAATGAGAGGTCAAACAGGAGTGAAATTGAACCTGTGCTCCACTCCTCAAGCTGTGCACCTTAGGGCAAGGCTGTGTCTGCCCCAGAGGGAGATCTTTTCTTTCATCACACAAAGACCCCACAATCATGGACACCTGAGAGCTCAAAGGCAAGCAGATGTTTTCCAGCCAAGTTTAGGCCAGTGGGAACAAGTAGGGAAAGCAGCATGTGTGAGGTCTGGGCGTTTACAAATTCTAGGGTTTTTAAGAAACCAAAAGAGATTCAGTAAAGCTACAGAACGGAATTCAAACCTAGTGTGAGACTTGCATGACATTTGTATTATAGCCAGAAGTTTCTGTGAGTTGACCAGTTGCACTGCATTGATGGCACATCCAGTGTCATTTTATTGAGATCCCAGAGGTCAAGTGACTGTCCCACAAAGTGGAACTGCAATTCAAAGCACAAAGGTCCAACTGCAGAGTCCAAACCACTTGTTTTACTGCATCCAAAGATTTCCAAAAGAACCTAAGGCCAGGAAGCAGGAAGGTCAGTTAGGAAATAATTGCAGAAATCCAGGTATGAAATAATGGCCTTGGAAGTGTGGAGGCGTGGCTAGATGCCAGGGAGAATCTATGGGATTTGGTGATTGAACAAGGAGGGCAACGAGAGTGAGGAGAGGCAAGGTTGGCTCCTCATTCTGTGAATTTGTGGGTGGCAGGTTATTTTCTGTAAACAATGAAAGAGGAACAATGTTGAGAGGGGAATCAGTGAAGATCTACTTGGTAGAAGCACTTGTAGGATGTGCAGATGGGGATAAACAGTTGACCATTCTCATGCTGGGCCCTAAACCTCAAGAGAGGCCATGGGCTTAGCCGTATTTCTGATTACTGGACTACCAATCAGGGTGCAGAGGGAGGAGATTGGATGGTTCCTATCAAGCTAGTCAAGTTGGTCATGCTATATAGTAGGAGCTCGTACCTCTGGATCCAGTGGTTGGGTTTTATAAACTATCCTGTGATCCCTGATTTATCTGAACCTTTGATTCTTAAGAGGCTTGTAGAGTGTCATTTTGATCTTCACCAAAACACAAAACAAACAAAAAACAAAGGCAGAGAGAAGCTATCATAGCTATCATGATAATTAAAAAATAAAATAGTTGCCATTACTGACCTTTTTGTATAGCTCAAAGTCAAATTTGAATGTAAGTATCACTCATTCTGTATTCTATAAAAATGTGTGTGCTGAATAAAATATCATTAATATTTACATAATACAAGAAGCTGGAACTATAGTGCCAATCCTATGCATCATTCATGTAGAGGGATGAATGGATTACAATCCAGCAACACTATCAGTGAGGTCCAATGTGCCTTCTAAAAACCAAGCCCAGTTCTTCCCCCAACAGGACCGTTGGTGTTCTCTGTATTTACATAAAGAGATGTTAAATGTGCCTCTAAGCCATGTCTTCCCTGTCAGCTACCATCCCCCAAGTTCCTCCAGGTGGAAATTCTGAGGCACCTCTGAAGTGGGCATCCTAAGAAGATGGGATTTCATTTTGTTTGAATCTGTTTTGTCTCTTTTTTGTTTTAGAAAGCATCCCCCACAATCTCTACATAATGCAACTTCTAAAGACTCAAGGCCCACCTGCTGCACAAACCCGCTGCGGAGGACGGGACAGAGATGCAGACAGCACGGCTTCCATTCTGTCGTTAATCTCCCTGTAGGCTCTGCGCCTCCACCGCCTCCACTGCAGGGAGCCAGCAGCACTCAGGGAAGCCTCGCAGGGCCTCAGGCCCCTGGCACGCGTGTGTCTCTGCTGGAGAGAAGGCAGAGTCATGGCACTTCACAGCCACTGTCTCATTCTCCTCGCCCTTGCCTGGCACTCCTCTGCCTATGGGCCTGATCAGCGAGCCCAGAAGAAGGGAGACATTATCCTTGGGGGGCTCTTCCCTATTCATTTTGGAGTAGCTGCCAAAGACCAAGATCTGAAATCCCGGCCAGAGTCTGTGGAATGTATCAGGTAAGAGAAGGAGCCCAATCCTCGGGGCTGCTCCATTTCCCAAGCACCAAGCAGCTGGGTCAGGCTTGGTCTTCTCTTCTCACCACCAGGGCTTGGTGGTCATCCTGGGGCTTATTGTTTCTCTCACTGCTTTGCTTTTATTTTCTAAAGAATTTTTCCCAAAACTAAAATGTCAAGGATACAGAGTAGGAAAGTCCCTGAAACAGGCCTGGTCACTTGGCGGCCAATTCACCGTCATTGCTTATCTGGCAACAGCATTGATTAATGGAAGCCCAAGCCATGAGGGGGAAGGAGAGAAATCTTCTATCCACTAGGTACTCCTCAGATGCCTGCCACAGCGTGGGCTGAACCAGGCCCAAGCCATGAACTGGGAACTCTGTCCAGTGTTACCATGTGGGTGGCCAGGACCCAAATCCTTGGACCATCACCTCCTGCCTTGAAGGAAGCATTGGCAGGAAGCTGGATCTAGAGCGGAGGTGGAACTCAACCCAGGTACTCTAATATGGAGACACAGGTGTCCCAAACAGTGGCTTAACCTTCTGGGCCACAACACACACCCAGCTCACTTACAACAATAACAACAACAACAATAATAACGTAATTTATAGTTAAAAGAAACCTCAATTGTTGGCATGATCCAGGAAACTTCAAACTGTAGTCCACAGTGTTTGGAACTGTGCACATTAGAAAGTCTCATAGCAGACTGGATCTAACCCCACCCTCATCATGCATCTCCATCCCACCTCTGCAAACACAGAATACACCTGACACAGATGGAGCAGCACAGAACCTAATTCTCTCAGTGGACTCTGAGTTGCTATGTCCTAGAAAATGTCTTTCTGTCCAGACCAGACAGTCGGTTTTTGCACTATTTCCTCCAGGACATGAATTCTAGACTCCTCCCTGTTCTGGAGCCCTACCTCTGCTGCTTTTTCATCTGTCATGATCTCTTGGTGCAGTCCTTTCAAGTAGTACCTGACCCCTGACAGATGGCAGTGAAACTCGGTGTCACCCCCGGAATTTGGACACCAAAGACTAGAACTGCACCCCAAGTCCTGATCCACTTCTGAACAGGAGTAGGACTTTTTGAAATTTGTGACTTCTTGAAAAGGCTCAGAACTTGCTCAGTCTTCCTGAGGCTGACCGACAAACACTAGGACTGACCAAGCCAAGCTGGATTTCCATTCATAGTGCAATGAATGCAGAAAAGCTAAGTAAAATCAGCTCAGCCATATAGGTATTTTATGTAAAGAGAAATTTTATAATGTATCTGAACAACTTGGCAGGTTATTACAATGAATAATTAGACAAACATATGAAGGAAGCTTAGGGAAACTGAAGAGAGGATATTACATTAAAAGTTGGATCAAGAGGCAAGCATTTGGCCAGCTAATAAGATGCCCATTTCCATCTCAGAGTGCCAGGGTCCACTATTCACCCTCCATGCCTCACTCCAGCTGCCAGCTAATGCAGACCACAGGAGGCATCTGGTGATGGCACAAGTAACTGGGTTTCTGCCACCAAATGGGAGATCTGAAGTGAGTTATCTCTCTCAAATAAATGAATATTTTTTAAGGTTACTCCAGGAACTTTGGAAATCTGAAGAATATGATGAAGTATAATGGATCCTATTTCTCATATTACCAAGCTCAAATATGCAGCTCAGAGTATGAAGGGAGAACCTTCTGGGCAGTTCTCTTTTTCCCTCTGGACCCTGGCACGCTGACTCAGCACATTCGCTGAGCCCTTACTCTAAGCCAAATGCTAGAAGAGGGAAAATGATGTTGCTGATCCTGGTTTTCCATTTGCTTGATCTTTACCATTCTTCTTTGAAAATCAGTGCATGTAACATTTTTTTTTAATTTTAAATATAAAGAAGCCAAAGCATGCCATTTCCATCTCTCCCCCTCTGTTTTGTTTTTGTTTACATTCATTTTGTTTCATTTCCCCTTCTCCTTTGACCTGTAAAGTTGTCATTTAAATTTGTGACTCTACAAGTCCAAGACTATTTCAGCCCCCACATATTCTTATCCTAATCCATTCATATTTTTCCTAATACCTTTCCTCTTTAAATCTATATATTACTTTTCTGAAAGTGACCCCACTTCTCCTACTGCAAACCCTTTGCTGCAGTCAACAGATAGAAACAATGCAGTGAATTACCAGCACCAATCTTGAGTTACTCTTGTCACTGAACTCCGTGTGGAGCACACACTGGGATTCTCACATCGCTGTGTCAGCCTCACCACCCCCTTATGAGCAAGCACTCTATCACCCTCTTACAAAGAGCCGAGTTTCCAAAAGTGAGCCATCAAGCCCAGCAGTAACAAAGTCAGGATTGAAACCCAGCTTTTCCCAGTCTTTACCGTAAGAACCTCCATTCACACCCCCTTCTTTCTTGCAGGTATAATTTCCGCGGTTTTCGCTGGTTACAAGCCATGATATTCGCCATCGAGGAGATAAACAGCAGCCCAGCCCTTCTTCCCAACATGACGCTGGGATACAGGATTTTCGACACTTGCAACACCGTTTCCAAGGCTTTGGAGGCCACACTGAGTTTTGTTGCCCAGAACAAAATCGATTCTCTGAACCTTGATGAGTTCTGCAATTGCTCAGAGCACATTCCTTCCACTATCGCAGTGGTGGGAGCCACTGGCTCAGGCGTCTCCACGGCAGTGGCCAACCTGTTGGGGCTCTTCTACATTCCCCAGGTACTGAGCTTTTGTAGATGGGGAGCTGGGGAAGGCGGCAGGAGAAGCAAGCTTTCAGGGGAGAGAGCCACAATATCCTTGCAATTTGTTGTTTTCCTGCCTTTGGCTTTATGTCAGCCAAAAAGACCCTGTGTTAAGTTGGGGCACTGCCTTATAACCATGTGGAATTTCTTAGAACTCCAATGTCAGTAAAGTCCCTTCACTAATCTCCCCAAATTTTTCAAGTGCGCCTTGTATACAACTCTGCCCTTTTTTTTTTCTTCCAAAGTGTTGAGTTACACATTTCCCACTTAAATCCTTTAGTAAGAATTGTACTTTCAGTCAGAGGAATGAGACCCTGCTTTGTAGACTTTGCAAATGCAAAACATCTATCCCCAGTCCTATTTCCTTAAAGCTCTCTGCTTCTCTGCTGTCTGGAGGAAAAATCAGCTTCAAGGAAAACAGAGCTTGAAAATGGCATCACCTAGTCTAGAAATGGAGAACATTCCATGTTATTTGGCATGTTTGCATAGAATGCATATGAATAAACCACTTTCGGCATGCAGGAGCTCAGCCTAGGTGGAGAGCTGATTGCATTAGCAGATACTAACTGTTCGCTACAATAAACTCTTTGATAAACAAAGTTGCGTTTTTCACACACACAAAAAAAGATGATAGTAAACTCTAGCTATCATTTGATTGCCTGATTTTTTTTCCCCTTAGCACTATATAGGTAAACTCTTTTCTCAGTTTAAAATGTAGAAAGAGATCAAGGACATCATTTTATAATGTTGGAAAGTGGAGAATTAAAAATAACTTAAATGCCCATGGATGCTTCCATGACTTAATGGTGGCACACCCCTTATGTCAAATTTTAAATTAAATTATAAAGACTACTTTAAATGTATTCTTTTTCATGTTTATATTTAAAATCAATTAAGAGTGCCCTCAATCGATTCTTGCTTCTATCCTGGGAATGGCCATTATCCATTTACACACACATCACGATGAGGAAAGCCTTGTCATCATTCACGGAATCCTACCACAGGGAGTTAAAGGTGATTCCCGTGGGGCAACCCTGGGTTAGGCACTTTCTGCCAGAGTGACAAATCCCACGTGAGCAAATGTGTTGGGCATATTTACATTTCTGAATTGCCCAGTACAATTTGAAATGCAATGTAGGCTGCCATCACCTCATAGCCAATAGGCAAAAGACAAAATTGGCATCAACTGATGGAAGAACAGATTTTCATCCGTGGAGGTACAGGTGAAAGGTCAGAGAGCATTGCACGTGAATTAGAGAAGTGCAGAGAAGACTGTAGTGATAAACCCAGCAACAGGATGCGAGTTCATCCCCAGCACTGTCATTCTGGGCTGTCCAGCTCATACTGGAATCACGTGGAGGCTTTGTAAGTATGGATACCTGAGTGTCACCAGAGATCTGAGGTTAATTGAGTTGAGACGCAACCTGGGTACTGGGAGTTTTGAAAGCTCCTTTGTAGGATCTTGTGTATAATCTGGGAATCCCTTCTTTGTTGGTAGGGTGAGACACCAATGCATTTCTAATGCCAGTTATGCCACCCAGTGGATGGGAGAAGCAGAGCAGCTAGAGCAAGCCGGTTAGAAATTTTCTGAATCATCCATGGAAATCTCCCTCTTTGTACTAATAATTTTTAAGAGTTCTGTGTTTCTGTGTTTTTTTAAGAGTTTTTTTATGGGGAGGATAAAAGCAAAGCACCTAAGGTGTATTTACCCCACTTTTTAGGTTGTTATTGGAAAATATGACAAATATTTTAAGTGCATCTTTGAAGGGAGCATATCCAAGGAGAATATTTTTGTTTTAATTTTTATATCTCTAAAATTCTTCTGGCCTTTTTTTTCCAAAAAATTTAGAAGCAAGAAATAATGGGTGAATTTATGAGATGGTAGATTTAGCATTTGCAAAACCCTGATTCAGGAGCACATGTTAACTAAACCTTCTAAAAAATATTAGAATTTAGACCAATTATTTCATTTAACCATCTACCTCATAAATGTCTGTGGAAGAACAACAGGCTTTATTCAGATCAAAGGAAAAATAGCCAATTCCAGATTACAGATCTAAAACTAGTCACCAAAGAAAGATCTTACTTGCCCTTTAGCCAAGTAAAACCCAGTTTCCCATACAAAAATGCCTTTTGTGTTTTTAATGAAGAAGCTATTCACTGATAAGAAGCAGCATATTGGGAAAACTCCATTTAGAAACAGTCTATGGAAAAATTATCAACTTATGATAAACACTAAAATGCCATTCCCCCAAATGTCTTCAAGTTGTATTTAAAAAAAAAAAAAACTATGTTTTAAAAGCTCTCTGGAGAGCACAAGATATTAAACATTACTTCATTTCCTAGAAAAGATTTTGTTGAGTGCAGAAATGTTTTGTTCTTGGGGCTGGTGCTTTGTCACAGCAGGTTAAGTTGCTAACATTTCATATGGGTGCTAGTTCAAGACCTAGCTGCTCTATTTCCAATCCAATTTCCTGCTAATGTGTCTGAACCCATGTTAGAGACCCAGAAGCTTGTGGCCACTAGCTTTGACCTGGCTCTGCCATGGTTACTGTGGCCATTTGGGGAGTGATCTTCTAACCCGTGGAGAGAGAAGATTCTCTCTCCCACTCAAACTCTCTCTCTCTCTCTCTCTCTCTCTCTCTCCTCTTTCTGTGTGTGTGTATGTGTACATATTCTCGTGTCGTATGTCTGTCTCCTCCTCCCTCTCTGTAACTCTCAACAAATACATAAAATATAATTTTATTTTTTCGAAACAATGTGTTCCTAATTGCTGAGTCACAGTCACACACTGAGTGCTGTGAATGGACCAACGCCTGTCCCATAGAAGATCTGGACACTCGCACACCTCCAAACTTTGGGCCAATGACTCTGCAGATGCTAGACAATCAGAGAACCCCCATTAGGGTTGACCAGTTACACATCTTATGTGTTTGCCATAATGTCAAAAACAGAGAGTTGGGGAGCTCAGTACCAATTAATGCTTCGCAGAAACTGGAGGAGCCTCTTTAGACAATGTCTTCTGACAGATATGGCAAAGCTTGCTCTCCCTGGTGGCCCACATTAATGATGATTTGATAATGGCCACATCCTAGAGAGTGAGGACCTCTGAAGACAGCTTCACAGGACTTCTGTTCAGCCTGCGTAAGGTTTTATAAATCCATAGGAATAGCTTGTCAAACCAGATCAGCCATCACCTGGAACTGAATGGAAAGAAATGGCTCCGGATGGGAGTTGAACCTTCTTAGGACAAGAAAGAATTTTTTTCAGGCATTTTGTAATGCCTGTCATTGTCATTGAGGTGCAAGGGGAACTGAATTTCATCCACCTAAATAGCTAAGTGAGCCTAAGAGATGAAAAGTTTCTAGAAGTGACTGTGATGAGGGTGATTCTGAAGCACTGGGGGGGAGGGGAAGAGGAGGGAAAGCTGGAGGATAGGAAGAAGGCTATGAGATGGAATAAAAACGAGCTCCTCAGGGCTTCTCTGAAGAGCCTCAAGCTTGTGAGGCACAGGTTCTTGCACACATGGGTTATAAACCAAGTATTCCTTAGGGTGGGGAGAAGTCAAGTGTTCAGATCAGAACTAGACAGAAAATGGGTAGTGGGATCTGTTATGACCACTGAGGCTGCAGAGGGGAGGTGAGAAGAAAACAATGCATGCAAACTTGAAGGAGGAAGGAGGTCTCACTATGGCTGGGTTGAGTTTACGGCCAGACCCTTCCCCCACACCCTCAATATTTCTGAAGAATCACCCACTCCCTGGGAATATAGGTGCTCCAGAAGAGACTAACAGGGGCTGGGGTATCCAGGCTGCAATGGAACACATGCCAGTTGCCTGCCCCCTTTCATCCCCTCCACAATGCCAGTTACCTGCCCCCTTTCGTCCCCTCCACAGAAGACGCATGTTTGATGTGTGAGACTATGGTGGCTCAAAAGACAGCCCCCACAGCAGCTTTGAAACTTGCTGGACTCCTTGCTCCGCTGCACAGTCACTCTGTGTTGTGGTTCTTTCCAGGTGAGCTACGCCTCCTCCAGCAGACTCCTCAGCAATAAAAATCAGTTCAAGTCCTTCCTCCGTACCATCCCAAACGATGAACACCAGGCCACAGCCATGGCAGACATTATTGAGTATTTCCGCTGGAACTGGGTGGGCACAATCGCAGCTGATGACGACTATGGCCGGCCAGGGATCGAGAAGTTCCGAGAGGAAGCAGAGGAACGGGACATCTGCATCGACTTCAGTGAGCTCATCTCTCAATATTCTGATGACAAAGAGATCCAGCAAGTGGTGGAGGTGATCCAGAATTCCACAGCTAAGGTCATCGTGGTCTTCTCCAGTGGCCCAGACCTGGAACCCCTCATCAAGGAAATTGTCCGACGCAATATCACAGGCAGAATCTGGCTGGCCAGCGAGGCCTGGGCCAGCTCCTCCTTGATCGCCATGCCCGAATATTTCCATGTGGTCGGAGGCACCATTGGATTTGCTCTGAAGGCTGGTCAGATCCCAGGGTTCCGGGAATTCCTGCAGAAAGTCCATCCCAGGAAGTCCATCCACAATGGTTTTGCCAAGGAGTTCTGGGAAGAAACATTTAACTGTCACCTGCAAGAAAGTGCTAAAGGACCTTTGCCCGTGGACACCTTCCTGAGAGGCCACGAAGAGGGTGGAAGCATGGTAAGCAATAGCTCCACTGCCTTCCGACCTCTCTGTACAGGGGCTGAGAACATCAGCAGCGTGGAGACCCCATACATGGATTACACACATTTACGAATCTCCTACAACGTGTACCTAGCAGTCTACTCCATCGCTCATGCCCTTCAGGATATATACACTTGCTTGCCTGGGAGAGGACTCTTCACCAACGGTTCCTGCGCAGACATCAAGAAGGTTGAGGCTTGGCAGGTACGTCCTTCACTTTGATAATCCATTCTGTGTGTCATGAAGCAGAACTGGGCTGATTCACAGTGGTGACTTCAGACTGGTAGTATCCAAATGAAACCACGAAATGGAGCTTTAGACTCAGGGTGTTCTTTCAAATGTCCGAGCAACTGACTTCTGCAAAACGGAGAGTGATTTCATTTGATTATCTCTTAAACCTTCACTGTCCTTTCATCCAGTAGTTCAGAATACCTAAAGGATACACTCTTAACATTTTTAAATATCCTAAAACAGACTTGGTGCTGAGTGGAGTGTTTTATCTAATGGCTTAATAAAAAGAGATGGTTCCCTCATGAATAACAAGTACACATTGCATGCTTTTTAGTGTCCCATACCTGTAGGGGCCCAAGACTAGTGCTATTGTGTCCAGCCACATCTTTGCCATTATGTTACAAATGCTGGTGAACCTCCAGCAGATCAACTAGACACAAGCTTGGGACACATGCTAATCAAAGGCACAGCTTTAGTTGATGCAGAAGGTTTTGAAAAGAAGCCCTGACACAGTGCTCACCAAGAAACCAAGAATGTTAGTGGAGTTGCCACCCTCATTGTATAAGTCAGTCTTGTTTGTGTTTTTGAATCACATGTAAGAAAGACATCATGTTCTGTTTTGACTTCATGGAACTTCTAAAAGAAATAGTCTGGTCCAACTCACACCTTACCAACAGTCCATGTCTTGCATATGCCCCTGTTGTCTCCTTTTGTATTCCTTCCATTCCAAACTGACCTGTCGGAGAGAGTGCATGAGTGCAGGAGGAAGGATGCCTGCATTTAGGCTGAGTGCCACAACCTCTGACTCCCCAATTTCCAACTCCCTCATTTCCAAGCTGTGTGATCTTTGGCAAGTCACTGCTTTAGGTCACATCTCCTCACCTATAGAATGGACATGATGTCTGGCTGACTGTCCATCGAAGGTTCTTTTGAAAGCAAAATGCATTTGCAAAATTTAAGGTACCCATAGTCAACCACAATCCAAAGATGCGTGAATGTTGCCAGAAATAATTAATGAACTTTAAGTTATGCTCATTTCTAAGTAGAATGAGTGAAAGCTTAGATTCATCCCTCCTAGAATGGGGATCATCTGCTTAAAGAGCAGATCTGTGCCAAATATAGCACTTGCCCATTAGTTACTTAAAGCCATCTGAGCTATCAGATCAACTGCCATGGAATTGCAATGTTATGCTCAAGTAACTTGTTTTATAACAGCCTAACTATGTCACAATGCCTATATCATTAACTTCATTTCCTCATGTAGGCATTATTTCATCTCACATCATGCTAAGATGCAACATCTTGAGAGACCACATCATCTAACTTTTATGATAGTATATTATTAATTGTTGTCCAGCACCTACTGTGTCTAACTTATAAACTTCAAGAGCCACGATGCTGAAAAATAAAGACATAATCTTTACATAGTACATACTACTGTCTCTCCTGTCTTACCTTCCATTGTTCTGGAAGAAGGGCCCTTGAAAAGTTTGCCAAGACCAGAGTGAGACTGAAGGGTAAGAAAGTTTCCAGTGGAAACACGGGAGTTCTTCTCGTGTAACTCATCTCTCAGACCACTGAGTTAAGATCCAGATGGTCAAGGCCCGAGCTGGAGCCTGTGAGGAAAGCACCAAGGGCTGGGCTGTAGTTGATATTGGGACTTTCAGTTGCTCAATAGAAAATCCAGACCAAAATGCCTTAGAACTAAAAAAGAAAATTTAGTGTCTCGTGTTACTAAAAAATCTCAGAAATATTCTAGGTGCCAGTTATTTTGTCTCTGTCTTTTTTATTCCTTTTTACTCAGAATTTGCAGTGTATGCCCTAAACCCTCTGGTGCTAGGATCTCCTTACTCCCTAGGTTCTCCTGGAAAAGTCCCAGAATTCCTGCTCATTGACCAGTCCTGAGTTACCTATCCCTCTCCAGTGGCAGGAGTCCGTCCCAGCTACACAGACCAAGAGCAAAGATGAGAGGTTCCCCAGAGGGAGGCTAGGACACTGTTAGGAAGAAGAGGAGGAAACAGAAGCAAAGCAACCAAAAGGTAAAATGCCCAGTACATAGACATCTCCTGGGACCTGTGTCCAGGTGCACACGTCCTCCTGACTCAGACATGATCTGACACAGTGCATCCCAGAGAGGAGACAGGAGTAACACCTGAGCAATGGCCAAGATGTCCTCTGTACTTGTCAAGAGTACCCGTTAAACCTCTGGGCCTCAAACCCTTTGGTGAACACTCCAGAATTTAAAATCATGGTTATGTCTCCAGCAGGAGATGCACTGGTGATGATTTACTCTGATTAAGACCCATATGAAAGCCATTTACCTATTCAACCTAGTTCAGGAAACTCAACCTATAATTTCATGCTTGCTTTTTGTGGTTTTTGTTTGTTTTTTGTTTTTGTGGGCTTTCTTGCTTCTAATTCAACCTACCTTGGAGCTCATCACATACACACATACAAAAAAAAAAAAAAAAACACCTGACTACATTTTGGCCACAACATCTTTGCCTAAGCCAAATCCCCACACCATATGACCCATTTAGTTTCATTTCTATCAACATTATCTACCTTGAACTTTTCTGTTATTTCAAAGTTCGCTTTTTCCTAGAAGTCTTTTCAAATAATGTTCACACATACACAGACACTTTCCCATCATTATTCTTTGTTTTAGCTGTTTACACATTCAGACTAAGCTTCTAAGTTCTTCAACGGGCTAAAATAAACCATAACACTTCTGTTTAGCTGAGCATCAATCATGGTATTTTTCCTTTGTTGACTTTTCCCCCTAACGTGTGTCAATCAACTCATATGCCTTAAGAAATAACATGTTGGTTATTTAATACCATATAACACATAATTGTTTTCTGGCCTCCCTATTGCAATCAAGCCCTCCTCATACCCTTCTCTGATGCTTTCTTCACCCTGATTCCTCCCCTGAATTTCCAGATTCTATTTGTCTAAAAAAAGTTTACTACTATTATTATTTTATTACACAGTTCCATAGGCTCTGGAATTTCCCTCATACCCTTCCTCAAGTCCCCTATCACCTCCCACTGATTTCCCCTGTATTATTACAATAGTAGAGTTCTTCATAAACAGACTTAAGTATATCAATACAGGCATGGACAATAGCAGAAAGTCCAGCATCCTATTGTCAGGATATAGTTAACAGTTTCATTGGGAGTCTTTGATTTAGAAGCTGCATTGTAGCCTCACATCTGGATATGATAGTCTCCATTACACAGTTACTATACATTCCCTTAAGTGAAAAGCCACAAAACAAAATCAACAACAGGAAGAAAAAATAGAAATTTACAATGCCATCAAGTTAAATAATATGTTACTGAATGGCTAATGTATCACTGAAGAAATGAAAAAGAAAATCAAGATCCTTCTTGCAGAAAATGATGCTACTACATAACCTATGAATCAGTGAAGAATTTAATGAGAAAAAAAAGTGTTTTGAAGAAATGAAACTAAAAACAAAAAACATCAAAATCCATGAGATATAGTTTCCACTGATCTTTGTTGGTGAGATGTGTCTCCCATTGGAAACAGATAGATGGGTTTTGTTTTTGGATCCAGTCATTAATCTGTGACCTTTGAGTAATGAGTTTAAGCCATTTACATTCAGGATTAATATGAATTTGGTGGTAATTTGGTCCTGCCATTTTAGCAATGGGTTGTTCATTGCTTGATTTAGTCTTCTGTTGTTATTTTACCAGGATATTGTTCATATTTGCTTTTGGGTTTAGTGGGTGCTATTAATCTTCTCTGTCAAGAGAACATCTTTATCATTGTAGGGCAGGTCTAGAAAAGGCATATTCTTTGAGCTTCCTTTACTGTGGAAGAATTTTATTTCATTTTCAAAGACAAAGGAAAACTTTGCTGAGTACCTTATTCTGGGCCAACAATTATTTCCTCTTAGAATCTGGAATATGCCTTTCCATTTTCTTCTGGCCTATAGTTTCCTGTGAGAGAGCAGCTGTGAGAGGGCAGTCTGATTGTCATTCCTCTATAGGTAAATTGATTTTTTTATGTGCATATTTAAGGATCTTTTCCTTATGTTCAACTGAAGAGAGATTGATTATCACGTGTCATGGTGAAAACCACTTTTAGTCAACCGTGTTGGCAGTTCTTTGCCCCTCCTACATTCTGTTTCCCAATTCTTTCTCCAGATCAGGGAAATTTCTCTTTATTGTTTCATTAAATACATTTTAAACCCAGCTTCTCTTTTTGTGCCTTTTGGAACTCCCATAACTCTTATATTTGGCTTTTTAATAGTGTCCTTTAATTCTTGAATATTTTTCTTACTTTGACTCACTTCCTCTTCAAGCTATTTGATTGTTTCACCAATTTGGCAAGAAATATCTTCTGCCTCATCCATTTTATTATGGAGACTTTCCACTGCATTTTTAATTTGCTCCATTGTGTCCTTCATGCCTAATAATTCTGCTTGATTTTGTTTCAGTGTTACTATTTCCTGTGTGACATGTTCCTTAAATTCTTTGAACTTCTGTATGTGCTTCTCATTGTTGACAAGAAACTTTATAAGAAGTGTTTTGAATTCTGTATCCCCTATCTCCTCAGTTAGCTCTGAGTTTGGTAAAGGCTTTTGCTCCTTTGCAGGGGAGTCTTCGGTAATATTCATTGTGTCTCTGTCTCTTCTTTGGCTCTTGGTCATCGCACTTCTGGTTAGCAGTTTCTTCTCCTTGGGGCAGGTTTCTAAGCTGTGTCACCCACAGGTCTGCAGTTCCATTTTACCTACTGCATTTGGTACCCAGTTCTTTGTTTGCAGTCACTTGTGCCACTCCCTCCAGTGAGTTTCAGGCATGGATTCTTGTGTTAGGCTTCCACCATGGTCTCCGTAGTCCCAGCTCATGGCTTACCACTCTTCACCTCCTATGATCCCATACTGTGGCTGTACCATTGTCTGTACAACCTTTCTCTCAAAGTTCAAGTTCTCAAACCTTTCT